GTTACCAGTACAACACTTAGAAAAAGAGGAGGCCCAAAGATGAAGAAACCAACGGTAGGTTCCGGGGAACCGGATGAGCAGTCTCTCAAGACTAATTTCTTCTGTGGGGCCTGGTCTGAACTGCCGGAAGACAGCTGTGATGTGGGAGAACAGCTCACGTGTTTCTAATCGGAGAGAGGCTCATGGTATTTTCAGCTTGATCAAGGTTGGGGAGTGGATGAATTCCAAAGCTTGATCACTGAGGCAGTCCTCGAATCAGATGCCGACGCCAAGAAGTTGGAGTCAGAGAAACACTCATTAATAAACTTGGAGAGAGAGGAGATTGGAGGAGAGACTGCGGCGTGGCCATCCCCACTGGGGTGTGTGTGTGTGTGATTTTTCACTTTCTGTCTCTCTGTCTCTGTCTTTCTGGTGGGTGCATGCGCCCTATAGCAAAAACCTCTCAAAAATAAATAAATAAATAAACTGTGGGAGAACACAGGAAACGTTCATTCTCTATTTTTTCCTGGTGACCTCATAACCCCTAAGCCTGTCACTTTTTTCCTGTCAGAGTGAAGAGGTGAACACTCTGGAAAGGTCCTAATGCCATTAGGAATATGCAACAGGGCCTTTTCTATTTGTCCCCCTTACCCTCTTTTTTTTTTTTTTTTTTTTTTTTAAAGAAAGAGCAAGGAAAGAGAGCATTTTGGACAGGGCCCCGCCATGTTGTGATCCCCAATGACAGGGCTGTTTCTTGATTCTTGTACGGAGATTCAGGAAGACACCGCTCCTATGACTCGGAGGCAGAGTGGCAGCTTGTGTTGTCCTTCCTACACAGAAACCAGTTCTACATAGACGGGTAAAAGCACTCACTCTTTCTGTCTAGATTATATGGCCAATAATGTGCAAGTCTTGGGATAAACGGCAAAATTCTAGGACATTAATACAGATTATTTACCACATGCTTCCTGTGGTAGTAGGTGAAGAATCAGGTTGCCCATTTTCCTGTACTGACTCTAAAAAATATGCAACCTTTCGCCACAGGGTGGCATGGTGAGTCTACCTACAGCCTTTTCTAGCAGGGCAGGGTGAGAAGAGAGAAAAACCAAAACCTGGCAACACCAGACCAGAAGGAACAACCTAAACCTAGGACGACACTTCCTGAAACAGGTTGTCTTGCGTCCTTAGAGGTATTTGTGAATCTCTGTTTGGAGGGATAAGAATCTATATAGGCTAACTCTGAGTGACAACAGTCACCATCTTACAGTAGGGAAATATCAAAGACTAACTCTCGAGTAATAGCATTTTAGTCACTGTAACAGGTTAAAGGACAGCATTTGCTCAAGGTTGTCTAGTGAAATAAGAATGAATTGCTTTAAAAATAGTCTAGGCCTGGCAGGTGGCGTGGTGGTTAAGGGCACTGGATTCCCACATGGTTCAAGTCCCAGGCCTGATAGCTTGCTTTCTCACTTTCTCTCTCTCTGTCTCTCTCTGGTCAAATTAAAATAAATAAATAAATATATGAATAAATAAAGTTTAAAAAAATAATAATTCTTTTTTTGGGAGAGGTTTTTGCTATAGGGCGCATGCACTCGCCAGAAAGACAGAGAGAGACAGAGAGACAGAAAGCTAGAAATCATCCCCCAGGAGGGATGGCCACACCGCAATCCCTTTTCCTCCATTTTCCTCTTGGGATCTTGAGCACACACACACATGCGCCCAGCATGAGTTTATGCCACTGGGTCCAGGACTCGAACCACGGTTGACTACATGAGAGTCCAGCAACATAGCCATTTCACCAACTGCTGGTCCTGATAAACTGTAAAATTCTAAGACATTAATATAGATTATTTATTACCTAGAAATAGCTAAGTTATGAGAAGTGTTGGCATGGGGGAAATATTCCCATTAGACCAAATAAGTTTAGATTACTACTCACATAACTAAATTAAAGAAAAGTAAACCTGGGGCATGGGTGGGACGGTGATTAAGGTAGTGGACTCCCACAAGGCTCACTGTGGTTCAAGCCCTGGACCTGGCAGTTTGAAAATCATGCTAGGTGCATTTGCATGCATGTCCAAAATTGTCCCCCTAGGGGGGATTTCTCATTTTTTCTCTTTCTTACTCTGTCAATACATGTACCCTATGGTGAAAACAAACAAACAAACAAAAAATTAAAATGAAATATTTTAGCTTGGTTTAAAAAAAAACAAAAACAAAACCAAAGAGAATGTCAAGACGCATGAAAGGCGTATTATCTAGGCAGGAAACACAAAACGCCACTTTCAGATAACTAGACACAATTCTTGTTGACTCCTAGACTGGAAGCATCTTGCAGACACAGAATACAATTGTGGGTGTTGAAGTTTCAGTCTTGTGGTTTCAGTGTGACTGATCATAGAGCAAGTGTGAAAATGGATCTTCAAAGGATTTACAGAAGAAAAATGACATATAGACCCTCACCTACCCTCTCAAGTCACTATAACAGAAAGAATAAAGCATGGATAACACAAAAGAGAATTTAATTTATAAGCTGGTTATGTTTCTGACTTAAAAGGAAGTGTGAAAAGTGAAAGCCAATTCTGTTGTTTTATGACTGTGGGATTTTTTCTTTCAAAATATTTTCAGACTCTTATTGAGAATAAAAGCAGAAGGGGTAAGAATACGAAAACTAATTTGCACTTGTTGACAGTTGGGTAAAAGAATACTAGAAATCTAGACCCGAATGTCCATTTGTAGAATATGCAATTAAAAGAATATGAAAGAGGTTTTTTTCCTCCCTCTCCACTCCTAAACATAATACCAGTTACAAAGTGTTGAGATATTTAACACATCCCTGCCTGCCTCTCTCTCTCTGTCTCTGTCTTTCTCTCTCTCTATATATATACACACACACACACACACATACATACACACACATGCATATACATACATACACATACATATATATTTTTAAATTATTTAACTTTTATTTATTTATTTAATTTTTTGACCAGAGAAGGACAGAGAGAGAGAGAGAGGGAAAGTGAAAAAGCAAACCATCAGGTCCAAGACTCGAACCACGGTTGGCCATATGGGAACCAAGCACCCTTAACCACCACGACACCTGCTGCCAATATATACATACATATATATATAATTTATTTACTTTAAGCACAAGTGGTTTAGACGCTAAGGGCTGCATTTGCCCTTATCTTGGGGCCTTAGCGTTGGCCCCTCCTGGGCTCCGTTCTCCTATGGCACACACGGCCCAGTGCCTCTGCTGCTCTGCTCGCTTTCTTCTGGCACGGTTTTCCATTAAAATGAAAAGAAGACCCACCGATTGTTGACCTTATGAAATGGTCAAACTCCACAGTCATTAATATGCTTTAGTCTTTCAAAATGGAATTATGAATATATATTTATACTGGATCATCAGAAAACTCACGATGTATTTTTCTACGTAAAAATGTGTCATGACTTTTCCAATGACCCAATATATGTCTAAAATTGCATTTTAGGTTTAGCTAAAGCTGAGATTTGAATAAATATGTTAGAAACATTGAGGAACTTGCAGAATTAAGAAGTCATTAAAGTCACACAGCCAAATAGATTTAGGGTATGTATAGTTTATAATTCTGTTTTCATAACTTGATTTTAATGATCTCTGCTGTTTATTTTTTTGGTAGAACTAAATCTACTTGTTTACACATAATGGAGCGGTAACATACTTTTGGAAATACACTGTCAAATGGTAACTTTATTTTTTGTCTTACTTGAAAAAAATAAACTCAATTACAGTCTAGTCAGTGACATGGTAGTTAAGGTGGCTGAATCCCGCATGGCTGACTGTGTGGTTGAGTCCTGGACCTGGAAGCTTAAGAAACACACCGTGCGCCAGTGCATGTGTGCCCAAAATCCTGAGAGGAAAATGGAGAAGGGTTGTGGGGGCATGGCTATTCCCCCTGAGAGAGGTACTTTCTCCTCCTTTTACCCCATTTTTCCTGTGAGTACATGTACCCTATATAAAATTATAAGGGAAAAAAAAACTTGATTACTCTGTGTTAAAAAAATTAGTTCTAAGAAATAAACTGATTATATCCCACTGGCAAGAACACTGGTCACTAGGTGCTGATGCACAGCGGACTTGTCTTTGAATTTAAACACTGACATCAACTTGGCATCACTTCAAACTCTCCAGTCAATTACAGTTCTGCTCAATCCCAGTAGCATAATTATTTCATCATGGAAAAAGGAACTTAATAAAAGACAGGGAAGTGAAAAAAAGTCATCATAAAATGCCCAAGCCCAGGGCCAACAAGTGGTATGGTGGTTAAGGCACTGGACTCCCACATGGCTGACTGAGGTTCAAATCCTGGACCTAGCAGTTTGAAAATCATAACAGGTGCGTGTGCTTGCATGCCCAAAATTCCAGGAGGAGAAGGGATTGCAGTGTGGCCAGCCCCCTTGGGGGGTGATCTCTCACTTTCCCTCTCACTGTCTGTCTCTGGAGAGTGAAGGTACCCTAAGGTAAAAACCTGATAAAAGATACCAAAAGCTATCATTCATGTCTCAAATCAGTAAGAAAAAATTGGGAACATCTCTCACTTGGGAAGAGCTCAGTTTGATTTCTAGTTCCCAGCACTTTGGCTCATTGCTGGGTGACGGTGAGCTTCAGGGGCTAGGTTGCTGGTGGGCTTCTTTTCTGTCACATAGAACAATGTCATATAGAACAATGGGCATAAGAATACACACTGACAAATATATATTTATTTTAATCTGTGGTTAAATAGGGAAGCACTAAATAGTATATATCATTTTAACACAGTATTTTGATAAAATTGACTCTTATACCATAAGAAAATAGAGCACTGGGGAGAAAACACTTAATCCTGAAAGTCAGCTCAGTGAATATGACACGAGGGCTTTCTCTGTGGAGATGGTGTACCGCTGACTGGAAACCTAGAAAATATGGAGGACTGTGTGTATTGGGGTTTTGTTGTTGTTGGCTTTGTTGTTGTGGTGTTACTATTTCCACTCACCAGCTCGAAGTGGTCGTGGAACTCCCCCAACAAAGATAGTTTTTCTGGGGTCCAAAGGCTGAGAACCATCCATTACAAAGTCACTGTCACTTAGGTTCCATGGTCGAATTTGCACCTGAAAAAAAGTTGTTTACTTGGTCCTTACTTCATTTCCATTAACCCCAAATGAGAATAAGATGACTAAAGACAAACCCACTGATTTGTGCATTTTACAACATACAAGACCCAAACAAAAATCCAGTCAATTAGTTCATGTTCTCTGCATTAAGTGCCTTTTGACAGAACTTTCGGGTAATGTATTGAATAGTTAGAAGTACAGTACTTAACCCTCTAGACATGAAACCTTCAGAAACCCCTGTTTTGTTTTGTTTTGTTGTTGTTGGATTGTTTTTAAAGGCAGTCTTTTAGAGACAGATCCTGTGTTTTGAATCTGATTTTAGACTGCATTTTCAATATTGTCCCAGAACACCAATTAGCTTTCAGAAGTTCACTTAAAAGAACAGGAACATTAGGAATATTTTCTAAAAATCTCCTATATGTGTAGCTTTTTAATTCTTATCATCACCCTCCCCCATTAGAACATTTATCTTTCAGTAATATGATTTAACACAGGTGCCTAGTCAGCAAGCTGGCAAAGAATTACCAGAGATAGCAAACAGCGAAGCACATAGATAATTGTGTATTTTTGATGTGATGGTTTCCCTAAATGAGGCTGGTCACAGAGAGGCAAGCCTAAAAATTAAATTGTTAAAGAGTAGATAAAGAAGACTTTATGGCATATTTCTTTCTGTTTGGTAACTGCTCTTTACGGGGATTCTCTTCCTGCCCATAGTTTGTTTTATCATATAGCAAAACGTAAGATATTCCATCACATTAAAACACATTCCTTCTAATCATAACTGAATTATCAACAATATCTTAAGCCAAAACAAAAGCACTAAAAAAACCTTCCCACACCAAAAGTGTTATGTTGCCTGAAAACCAACCAGTCAGGCAGGTGGCCACGTATGCTGGGAGGCGGTTGGGAGCGGGAGGACCTGGTATCTGTCTTTAAGCAATGTGCCTCTTCCCCTCCCCACCGATTAAGAAAGAAAACCAAAGAGATGAATTTTCATTTCCTTAATATTAACAGAACTCCTCATTTTCCCTGTTGCTCAAACATCAACACGCAATGTGAGGAAATACGAGATCATTTCTTACGTGGCCTGTGGCCTGCGAAGGGAGCTTCCCTACAAAGAACACTTTCAAATGGCCTGAAAGGCCCTGAACTGGCATTGCTTCCTTAGAAAGTCTACGTTCTGAACAGCTGCTATGAAGCTCAGCCCCACCCAACTCGCGGCTTTCCACGGCACTTGTCCTCACTGTCAGCCAGAAGCCATGGAGCTCCATTTCTTCCCTAGACCCTGAATACTAGGGCCTGCTAACAAGGCTGTTAATATCCAGGCATTGGATGTTATTATGTGGCCGCATTTTCAATACTGTCCCAGAACACCAGATAGCTTTCAGAAGTTCACTTAAAAGAACAGGGTCATTAGGAATAGTTTCTAAAAATTACCACCTTTATTGTGTGAAAAAAAAATCCCGCTCCTCCCCCCCAAAAAAATCTAATTAGTCTGTTGTAAAATTTGGTTTGTTTGACTAAATTATTGTTCCCTCGACACTTAATCATAAAGGCAGGTTCACTGATACCATAAAATACCACTTTTAAATGCCTTCATGACAGCCCATTACTAATTTTTAATGAAAAATATGATAATTTCCTAACATGATAAAAGCAAGGATTTTGACCTCTCTCTCCCTTTATTTTACACACATGCACATACAAGCATGCACACATACACATGCACACATACACACAAAATGACAGATCTTTTCCTACACAGAACCTTCTCTTCTAGTCTCAGTCCTAACAGAGCAGTTAAGTTAGCGTCAGGACCTGGTTAGGTAATTCGGGTCATTCATGCTAACTGATTTTGGCTGTGGATCACTCTGGTGCAGGAGTAATTCCTGTGTGGCGTCCAGCCTGCTCTGGTTCCATTCCATCAGAAGTGCAGAAAGTGCAGTTTGGGGAGAGCTCTAAGTGACCACTGCTCGGAACTCTGCAGATCTGCTCAAGCTTCGTTCCTGCCTTCCTCCCCTGCCACTCTCCCACCCTCACTCCACTGCTATTCTCAGCAGCACAGATCACAGTCAGCACAGGAAAATGGCTCGGGACCCAGCACTCATCAGCCCTACTCACGAAACCTCCAGTTCCCAGGGCCACCAGAAAACAGCTCTCAGAGCCGGCACCGCCACAGAATCAGCGCGACATCAGCATGGGCCAAGCTCAGCACACTCTCCACACGGGCAAGACGTGATTTTGTGGTGCTGGCTGTACCGAGCGGCTCCACTCACGCCCTAGTTTCTCCCTGAAATCTAAGCCCACGCTTCCACAAGGCATGGTTCTCCATCTTGTTGGGTTTGTTCTCAGACTACAGGGCCTGATGTTCATGTTCCGTCTCTCTGTACTCTGGATATATATATTCTGGTCCTGACTGACTGTTTATGCATTTCTCTTAATTTATTATAGTATCATACTTTTTAAGTCGACTCAAATACTTTGTCAAAAGGGTTACAGTATAAATAAGATAACTACTTTTTAATTATCTTTGCTTCTCTAATAATTCTTTTTGAGAATGGATGAAATTAGACCTATCCTAATTCAATTTAAATCCTCCCCAGCAATACAACTTTTACATAATATAGGGATAACACGTGTGTGTGTGTATGCGTATGTGTTTGTGAGTGAGAGAGAGAGAGAGAGAGAGGAAAAAAACCAACTTGTCAGTTATGTGGTCAAACAGGCTACACTCCGGGCAGTGAGGGCCTCAGCATTCTTAGGACACACTACCGGTCATCCTGGAGAAACAGTGAAGACCCCTCCCTTAGCCTGACTCGATCCCAGCAACCTGACCACGGCTGCCTACAGACGTGACTCTAGGACAGGGCTCTACAGTGGCATCTGGGAAGCACCAGCGGGCTGGCCATGCTACATCCTTTCAGCAGGGGTCATACAAGCTCAGATGCCTATTCGGCCAGACAGGAAGCAGACATGACATGACAGGAACAGGAGCCGCCATGACGATTGTTAATAGACAAGCAGTGACATGCTGGAGTAGACCGTTCCTTGTGAAAGACACAGTCACTTCCCAGCTCCAGCGGTAGTCACCACTTGTAAATATGTTGTCAGACTTCTGCATTTTTTAACACTGGCTACAAATTCATGTGTGTGTGTGCATGTACATCTACACATACACGCGCGCACACACACACATGTGATTTTGCCACAGAGCAATTTTGCCATAGCAATTTTGCCATAGAGCACATGCGCTTGTTGGAGAGAGAGAGACAGGAAAAATGAGAACTCACTGGTCAGAGGGATAGCTACGTCGCCATCCCTTCTTCATTCTCCTCTTGGGATTTTGGGCATGCATGCTCATGTGCCCAGTGTGTTTTTCAGGCTACCTGGTCTGGGACTTGAACTGTGGAGTCGGCCATATGGGTGGGATCCAGTATCTTAACCACCACACTATCTGCTGGCCCAAAATTCAAGGTTTTTTTTTTTTTTTTTTTTTTTGAGAGTTTTTTTTGCTATAGGGTGCGTGCGCTCGCCAGAAAGACAGAGAGACACAGAGAGACAGAAAGCGAGAAATCACCCCTCAGGGGGGATGGCCATGCCGCAATTCCTTCTCCTCCATTCTCTTCTCGGGATCTTGGGCACACATGCACACGCACCCGGCGTGAGTCTGAGCCATCAGGTCCGGGACTCGAACCGCAGTTGACTACATGGGAGTTCAGCGACACAGCCATTACGTTAATTGCTGGTCCCTGATTTTTTTTTTTTTAATCTTTTTTTTTTTTTTTTGGAGAGGTTTTTGCCATAGGGCACATGCGCTCTCCAGAAAGACAGAGATAGAGACAGAAAATGAGAAATCACCCCCCAGGGAGAATGACCATGCTGCAATCCCTTCTCCTCCATTTTCCTCTTGGGATCTTGGGCATACACACACATGCGCCCGGTGTGAATCTAAGCCACTGGGTCCAAGACTCAAACTACAGTCGGCTACATGGGAGTTCAGCAACATAGCCATTATGCTAACTGCTGGTCCCCAAAATTCATGTTTTTATGTGATACTTCAAGATTCTAAAATATTGGCAGCTAATTCAAATGTAAAAATCACTGGACAGGCTGAACACAACTGTCTGCAGGCCAGCTCTTTCCTGTAGGCCTTTGTCTATGATTTTTGACCTGAAAGGTTTAGTCTACATACAGCTCACAATGGAAGGTTTTACTCCACAGGTACTTATGAGAGAAGATACAAGAATGGGTTTTCCTCAGCTTCTTTTTAAAGCTTGTATTCCCTACAGAAGCTTGAATGAGGACCATGGAACCCACTACTGGCTGAATTATTTGTGCTCTAAATCATTATATTTTGAATTAGAAACTACTTTGTACAAATGCTTATCTCCAAAGGCAAAATCATTTTAAGGATAAAGGTAAAAACCAAACACAAAGCTTGTTGGTATGAATACACTTACTTATACACATAGTGCTTTTAACATAAGCCTTGAAGACACCTAAAGGAATGTAACATTAATAATATTAATAATAGTGGGGCCACAGATGGCATAGTGGTTACGTCACTGGACTCCCACGTGGCCAACCACAGTTTAAGTCCCAGACTGGTGACTTGAAAATCACACCAGACACACGTGCGTGCATACCGAAGATCCCAGGAAGTAAATGAAGAAGGGACTGCAGCATGGCCATCCCGACCTCCACCCCCAGGGGATGATTTCTTACTTTTCCTTTCACTCTGTATCTCTTTCTTTCTGGCAAGCATATGTGCCCTATGGCAAAAAACTCAAAAAAATAAATCAATAATATCAACAGTCAGTAGTGAGAGCACCAATTTTCTCTTCCAAGGCTTCCCAAAGTGTGTTCTGTAGAATTCAGGTCCTTGAGATTGATCTGCCAGACAAGGAGTGTTTGAAAAACTATACATTATCTTGTCCTCAGAGTTTCACGGGACCCATTGGTGTGTGTATGTGTATATATATATATTTTTTTTTTGT